GTAGTACGGGATCAGTTTTGGATAAAAAGAAGAACAGGAAACCACAATTCATTTCGGCAATTTCCCAAGAAGAGCTTCGTCAAGTATTTCGAAACATGTTAACGAGATGTGAAGCTTGCCTGCAAGCACAAGGAAGTCACTTTGAACATCTTTTGTGATTTAAGGTAAGAAAATTAATGTAATAACATGTGTTAGTGACGAGAAATATTCGTAGTTCGCTGTTACTAGCGGCACTGAAACTGATTCGCCTGTGACTCACGGGAAGAACACGCTATCTCTATCCCACACCAACAGTGCACTCGGCCGAGCACGCAATGCAAGCAAGGCCGTTACAGCATAAATTGTAGACCCGGTATTAATAGTAAGTGTAGAATGACTTAATAACTAAGAAATTCTACATCACAGTATCTTTCCTGAAATGCTGACAGTGATGTGGGTGGGGATGTTTTATTTGGCTTTTAAACTTTTTTAGGGGGTGGTATTATTTTTATATATATATTTTAATTGCTTGTAGCATGCATAAGATCATTTGGTAGACCTAGACATAAGTGGGAGTATAATGTTAAGATTAACCTTAGGTGAATGTGGTGTGGACTGGATTTGTCTGGGTCAGGCTATGATCTGACTGCCCTTTTGACATATAGATTTGTGTGCAGTTAAGCAAAATATCTGTCCATTTCAAATATGCCACACTGATGTAGCAGGTGTAAGATAGGTAGAATTCTGATAAATCATCTGTTCTCAGTAGAAGGAAGTGCTCTGCACGCATTAACCTTCTTCACTCTTTTGTTGACATTTTACATGCATGGTATCATCTCATAAGGTGGCATCTTGTCAGCCTGACAGAGTTTTATGTCGTGTTAGCATTTGTTGGTGCATGTGTGAACTCCTTTCTCTTAGACCTTTCCTTGTAGGAGTACTTCTTCTATTACAGTGCAGTGTATCCAGTTTTAGTTTATTTTGAGTAGAAATGGTTAAGCATTGCTACAAGTGCAAAATGAAAATATGACAGAAGTTCTAACAAGTGACTGGTCCATTGATGGCATTTGAGTGATGTAGAAGAATTTACTTCAGTTGAAAGTTATTAATGCTGTGCATATTTATGTAAATAAATATAATATATATGCTGTTTTTGGTATTCTATTATATTAAGTGTTCATAGTCATACTGTGACATGATTCACATCCTTGCCTCGTACTGTGGAGGATATATGGAATGTAAGTAAATTCTAATGTCTTCTGAACAAAAAGCAGTATAAATGTGTGTTTAACAACAAAGCTCTGAGAAAATATTTGATTCTGATACAGCTGAAATAGGTGTTTCAGAATGCTACATGATTGGACACTTAAATAATTTTTGCATCTTGGTTTATATTTTCTGAATAGTCGAATCAAGTAGAATTCTGGTTGGGAAATCTCTTGCAAAGTGACCACTTGGAAGACCAGAAGTGTAGAAGTGGGTAGTGTTAAAAAATGTGTAAGGGATGTGCTTTGTGAAGACTGAACTATATATTGAACTTGATCAAAATTGTGTTCTCTGGTGGGCTTTGATATTTAAGGAGCGTTGAAGTTTATTCAGGTTATATATTTATTGTTCCTGTTATACAGTGTTTCATAAGTATAAAGATTTATGTCCTTTTTTGTTATAATGCTATTTTAATAAGGAATGATAAAAATTGTATCTTTGTTTTTTCCAGAATGATAAAGAAGAGCACAGAAAAGCAGTTTTCATTTTATGTTCTCCTGTCTGTGGCTCCACAAAAGTTATCATGGAGGATATAATACGAAACAGCAACTTTGAGTACTGTGTACTCATTACGTCTGCTCATGCAAGAGTTCACCAGTTTGCCAAGTATGGTGGCCACCGGGAAGGAATTGATGATATGCATTACTTCCATAAACTTGAAGAGGAGATGCTTGAATGGATGGGGAACTTGGTATGTAAGATTATGTGTATTGGTAATGTTAGTTTTTCAAGTGGTAGGATTTTCCGAGAAAGTCTTTGCTAAATTACTCATGTTCATTTTAATGTTGTAATGAAATAACTGAGAAACTTGGATTTTGTCTTTATTGTCATTAGAGCATTTCATATCTACATTTTTAAAGCTTTTATAATTTATAGACTTTCCGAAAAGTAAGAGACCACGTGTTATACCCATACAAAAGAAAAGTATGATATCCTGTCATTAAGAACTTCTTCTTTAACTGCTGTTTTAAGACTTTGCTAAAAAGCCAGTTCTGAATCTGTTCTTATATTTTTAAAACTTTTGCATGTTGTTCCAAGGAGTCCTGATTCTAAGGTCACTGTAAAAGTTACAAATAATTTAATGGTGAAAGGGTGTTTGACATATGCCCAATCCACAGTCTGAAGGACTGCTCCTGATGCATGTATACACATATAGTGTTGTGAGAACACATAGTTATTTGTATCAGGGAGATATGTTATGTCTAATTTCTTATTGCAGAATTATACTGTAGAGGTGCTGTATTCACCGCTGTTTGTAGTGCCTCTGACTGAGGTGCTGTTTGTCACCCCAACATTCAGAAATTTATTTCCTATCACTGAAGCACATATTCAGTGTATCAAGGAACTACAACTTCTTCAGCACAAGGTGTGTGGACAGGATTCATAGGGTATGGATTTTTCCATCAGCATAGCCTTTTAAGAGGACATGTCTTGGATGTTCAGTAAGAAGGGATTAAGGTAATTTCTGTGGACTTGTAACTCTTCTTACTGAGCACTACAGATATATTATTTGTTTAATTCTCAGTGAGTGTATGGTTATTAGGAGTGATGACTGTCAAGTGAGACCAATTTTTAACTAGTGAAAGTTGAACAGGTGGCAACATTTTTCTTCAATCGCAAATGCATGCAAATTTGCATGCACGTATGCCAGCTAGTTTGGTGCTAGTTAGTTATTAAATTGTGATGTATATTCTACTGTTGACTATAAATGATTGCTGTCCTGTAATAATGTTACATCTTCAGCTTACTTTCTTAAAAAATGCTGTGTTGGGCAAAACTATATACAAACTTGGTATTCTGTTCTTGATTTAACTGGATATAATGTAGTCAGATACAACTGAATATACAGCTAGCAAGGGATGGTCCTCAAACTTATGGTTTGAGCAGGGATGTTCTATTTTTTACTGAAAAGAAAAGTGGCATGTTAAGGTAGTCAGTGGCAAGCTCTTATGAACATGATAATGAATTGTGGATTCCATAAAATTCAGGGAATTTCTTGATTATCTGAGTGACTATTAACCTCTCAGGAAGGATTCTGCTCTGTGGGGTTAGGTGGAGTCCATGATCTGAAATTTTGGAGAATGATTGGTGTCAAGGTAATAAAATTTTAAACATTTGATCTATTAGTAAAGAGTGGATATTTTAGATGGAATTCAAGAGAATAAAGGGAGGAAGTGAAATTGAATGTGATCCCTTTATGAAGTAAGGAATATAGGTTAGAAAGGAATGATATGTGATGGTGTATTTTGGACTCATAACATTTAATTTGTACTTACAGGTGGTTGATAGCCAGTCATTGGATTCTTTGTCCTCTGTTAAACTGACACATCTTCCGTTGGAGGTACAGATATCTGTACATCATCTTGTGAGTTGCCTGCACAGTTTGTTTGTGCAACTTGAGGTTTGTGAAGACATATATAGCCTTGGGCACCTAAGTGGGATTGTTGGAAGCCAACTGGAAATTCTCCCTGATGCAAATAACAGACGGAAAGTGAGTGTATTATTATTATCACGTGCAGTTCACTTTTTTTGCTTTTAATTTAAAATTCAAATTTGCAGATTGTTTAAATCTAATAAAATGCTTTCCTTATACAGACAGCTCCTAATCATTGTTCACTAATTCTGATTGACCGTACATTGGATCTGGCAAGTGTAACAAGTCACAATACAGACTCACTGTTAGATAGGATTCTAGCAGTGTTGCCACGGTTACCTGGACACACCAATGATGTTGCAGTCAAAATGTCACCTATTTGTGATACCAAAGTGTAGGTACGATTGAGTAATGTTTCTTATTTAAAGTGAGTAAATGAACCCATTTCATTTTATATTATGACTTCTGGAATAAAAATAACATACAAATGAGAGTTAGTGATATTTATGCATGTTTATTATGTTTTTGAAGAGGGCTGACAAGATGGATGTTATGAGGAACAGTATTTTGAGAAAATACAAAGACACTATCTTTAGATCCTAATTAAATGGTGTGGGTCAGTTACTCTAAAAAGACCAATAATATTGTGTTTATTAATTACTGAAAGGAAAGTAATTCTATTCAAATTGTGAGAAGGGAAATGTAAAGAGTATTTGCTTTATAGTGTATATAGACCAAAAGTACAAATCTTTTGTTTACAAAAGTTCATTTTTGTGATGAGGTTATGTCTCACATTTAAGAATCAGTTATTATTTATTTATGATGTATGTTTAAAGATGCTTTATCTCATGCGGAGGTCCTTTTGTAGATGTGGCTCTGTTGCTGTTGGTGTACAGTACAAACTATGAAACTCCTCATTATGCACATGTCTCCATTTTCCTGTTGCTTCCTCTGTCTTAGTCTATACTCTCCACAGAACCAAATGAAAATTCATATTTAAGGATCCAGGAATTAGTATATTATTGAATTTGTTTTAATTATTACTAATTCCTTTCACAGCATTAACTGTCTATGCCTATGTTCAATTACATATCATGTAAACTTATGTAGAAGTTCAAAAGGCCCTTTGTTCCATCATAGCCATCAGAACATTCATGATTGAACAAGTTCTGAGTGAGTGAGGCATCTGATGAAGCAGGCAAACCCTTTCAGATGCAATATAGACAGTGCCAGTAGACTCTGAGTACAAGCTTTTGACATCATGTACTATATAATTAAAAAATTCTGACCAGAGGGCAACATTTTTTGTAAGTGTTGGAATTTTCCTGTACACTTAAATATTGGAATTACAGTTTTTATTTGTTGTAAGATGTTTTGCTCATTTCAGATCATCAGCTTTAGGAAACATTGTTTTGGCACCTGGATGTCTTGCACACCCAAATTGTGATCTCTGTCCACAGGTGAGTGATGTAATTATGTTACAGTCCTTCAGTCTGTCGAGGTATTATTTTTATTGTAAATTTTATAACCTTTTACTAAAAATGTTTCATGTTACATATTTTTTTATGTATTTATATCTACCATGTTGCAAACTGGCTTGATTGCAGTATTCATTTCATAATTTCAGTATTAAGTTTTATTTTGATATATTCTATTTATAAGTAGTAATTAGAAGGCTATTGATATATCTAGAATTAATCAGTTAGTGATGAATGACATCTAAATATCATCAGCACTACCCATGACAGTCCCAACACTGCTTCTGCTGCCCAAAACATTTTCATTACTGCCAGCCAAAGAGTGGTGCAGTATATATAGATATGAAAGACTTCATATGTACTTTGAATAAAAAATCTCTAGACTGGCTGCAAGATGACACTGTTGTAGAGAAGTCTTGTGCTGCTTAATGGTTGAGTACAGTCTGATGAATCAATTTCTGTTAATTTTAAAATTGTGTGATGTATTTTTAATCAGAGTTACATTAATAAATAAATTGAGAACTGATTACCAGTAAATTTAGGGAAAGCTTGGTGCCATTCAATTCAGCAGTCTTTTGTTTCCAATTTTCTGCATATAGAAAGTGCCTTCAATGATGCAGGTACTGGAGTGGCTTGTGAACAAGAAGCAGAAGGATGTTTTGTTGAGTCTTCATCACCATATAACTGCATTGGTACCAGGAGGAGGAGGTCGAGTTGGAAAATTTACACATGTTACACCACACACAATTGAGAAGCAAATAGCCTTGTTTAAGGGGCACACGGAAATTATGTACCAGTGCAGTGGTCTCCTACAGGTAACTATGATTTTTGGGACAGGAAAACATAGTCTTATTTATTAGTTGCTATTGAGTATAATGTTGTGTGTTTGTTTCTTATTATTTTATAAGACATACTAGTGAAAGTGCCCATCATTGAGGTTTTGTGAAATCTCTGAGGTAGCCTCAATCAGCAGGGCAATGATGGAGGGAGCAATCACCTCTGAAATACAATAAACTTCTACCAGACTGCATGGTGCAGCAACACAGAAAACAATCATCTTTATGCTCACTGCCATGAGAACCTCAAGTTTCACTATATATTTTGTTCTAAATGTGTTTACATTAAGCTAATTTGTAGTATGAGGTCACATTTGGAGAGCTGGTCAGCTGAACTGCTGATTCTGAGCACCAGCTGCAACATTGAATAGTTGGCACATGTTGGGTTATGTGACAACATAATTCAGCAATTTTGTGTTAAAACTGAGTTTGTTTTGTTTGGAACCTGGTAGAAAATAAATTGGCCCCTTAAACTTTTCAGCAGGGTTGTTGGAAGAACCAGACCTTTTAATAAAAACAGTTTAGGTTAAGAAACATTGATTTGCAGCATGACCTAGAAACAAAATCCCAAAGTCAGCATCCAATTTTCAAAGAAAAGAACGGCATTTTTAGCAGAACAAGTGGATTTTGCATCATGACATTGCACCTTCGTTCCTAGACAGTACTGCCAGTAAAGTGACTTTGCCCATAAACAAGAACCACTGTTGGAACATCCATTGTGCCCACCTGACTTGTCCCCATGTGACTTTTTAATGTTCCCAAAACTTAAATTCTTATTGAAAGGATTTTGTTTTTGATCACTTGAATATGTTCAAAGCGATATGATGACAGTACTGGGTGGACTTTCAGTAAATTAAATCCAGCAGTGTTCCAGTCTTGACTGTCATTGAAATGCATAGACAGTCACTAGTGGTTAGTAATAATGTGTGTATATATTTTATTTTACAGAAGTGATCAAATTATTTGAGTCTCAAGCCTCATTATTCACCATTTTTCTGTGTTTGTTGGAAAGGGCACTTTAATAGGAGTTAATAACTTGCTTATTGTAGGTTGCCTTTTATTTAAACATAAATATTATTGTTGAAAGTGCTTTGGTCTTAGAAGGGATTAAATTTTTCAGCAAACTTTGGCTGTAACACAGACGCTGCGATCTCCTCGTTCATCTCAATTGGATACCATAGTTAGCATTGAAAAATTGCTGCTACAGAATCTGGGTTCCATGAAAGATGGGGTTGGAGTACTAGCTCAGGTAAACAGCAGCAGCTATAAGTAAGAAGCTAGGAAGATGGCTGTCTTCTGGGTTGTTGCGCCGTGTAGTCTGGTAGAAGTTTACCAATATTTCAGAGGTCCTTGCTGCCTCCATTATCAGGGACCTCTGAAACATCAGTAAACTTCTACCAGACTGCATGTCGCAACAACCCAGAAGACAGCCATCTTCAGACTTGCCACTGTGAAAACCTCAAATCCTACAAGAAGGTTGGAAATCTATGCATAACAATCGTGGCATATTTGCTGTATTATTTCCTTTAGACTTTGTATTCATGGATGTTATCTGATGAGTAATTATGGAGGGCTGTCTTTTCTGTCACACCTATGACCTCTGGTCTTTTTGAATGGTGCCAGTGACATCACAGTTGGCTGGGTCAGTGTCATTTATATGGGTGAAGTATCTGGCTCCTGTCTGGGTGAGCAGTGACATTATCATACAGGTTCCCCTGTGTGGACAGGGAATCTGGTTTGGGATTCCCAAAGAACATTTCCACATGCCAAAAAAAAAAGTAAGTTTGTGTAAAGTAGTTATTGTTGCTGTCTAATTATAACCAAAATTGGAATATGTTGGCAAATTTGAGTAATACTTCCCAGTATCAGACTTGAAAATCCATTCACCAATTCTTGAATTGTTACATGTGATAGGTGGGTGGGCAGATAAATATCTTGAAGCTAATTGGCTTAGTTTTGCAACTTTTAGTTGTGAATATGTCAAATGCCTAATTAACTGATGATTTAATAAAATAAGGGTATTCTTATAAACCATCCACTGCAACTTCTAAATTATTTTAGTGGTGTTGTTTAAGTGCTTCTTGCAGTTAATTTTTTTGTTGTCTTTGAAATGTTCCTACTTCACGCTTTTTCTCTTTCTGCATGTTTTGAAAATATCTCATTCTACCACCTCATCAGTGTGTTTGATGGGAATATTGTTGGCTTTGTCTAGGATGGAACCATGTTTGTGCTTTGGAACACACACAGGCCCACGTCCTTTCATTTATTGATCAAAATACATATCAGATTATTATTTATTAGCAGAAAACAGATTAAACAGATATAAATATATACACCTAAAAATACAGAGTGATCACACACAGAAAGAAATGATGGATCAGCAAACCAGTCCTGGGAACCTGTGTGGGTTTTCTGCCCCACTTTCTAATCCAGAAAAAGACCTACCCAGTTTAGTCTGAAAAGAAAATGGAAGGGATGTTAAGTGTCCAACCACCGGGCAGAGATTGACTCACACTGGCCCCCATATAACATAGCAAAACAGAAGAAGACCAGGGCACACTCTGATGAGGAAAGATAAGGTCAGAACAGGGTGATACAAAGGAAAATTAGGAAAGAACAGAGTGGGATGCAGTTAATGTCACAACTTGATATTACACGTGTAGAATGTGTAAATAGAGTATTTCTGTATTATCAGTTCATATTTAACTTATGTTTATCTCTTTCACGTCTTTGTATGGCCTTATTCCAATGAACTGAGTAGAATAAGCAGTGATTATTGTTTAAATGAGTAATCTTTCCCTTGTAACCATCCAGCTGTATATATTTTGTCTCAATAGTAATGTATAAACTCAAGAGTTCATTATTATTGATAGCATTTAAAAGTACTGTTACTTCCACATTCATGTTCATAGTGATATTTTCAGTGCAGGTAAATGTTCCTGTTACATGGTAAATTAATTTGTTGTGATCCCTTGAATTTGTATGTTTCCCTCCTTTTTATGCCTGAAGATGGAAGTACACCCAGTGTCTGAAGCGTACTTGGAAAAATAGCCGTGATGATGGATAATGTCCAGAATGATAGTCATTTGTAAAAGTATTATTTTGGACTTTTCCAAAATATCACTTTTAAACTGACTAGATGGCTTAGGGAACCCAAAGGTTCTTTACCAAATTAACCAAAGCCCTCCACTGATCCCTGTCCTGGGCCAGCAAAATCCAATCGCCTTCAACTCCTATCTCCCATAGATCCCGCTTGATATTATCCTCCCATCTACATCTAGGTCTGCCCAGCAGTTTCTTCCCTCCAGGCTTCCCGATTAATACCAGGTGTACACCTCTTGCCCCATCCATGCGTGCAACATGCCCTGCCCATCCCACTCTTCTTGACTTAATCATCCTGACAATATTGAGGGAGGGGTACAAATTTTTAAGCTCATTATGCAGTTTTTTCCATACCCCATCCTTTTTTCTCCCAGGCCCAAATATCCTCCTTAACACCCTAAATACCACTTAGACATTATAATGCACCATTATCAGAAACTTTTATTTTTCCGGGCTCTTACACCAAGCATTCTAACTCAGCTCTGTGGCAAGTACTGTTTGCATGTGTAATGCTGATAATGCTGTTCTGTTTAGGTGACACAGCTTGTAAAGACTCGTCATGAACGAGGGCTGTTACTGCCAGACATCCTTGGCCTCTTGGTTCATCTCTTTTCCTTGGCAGGTACTGACATCCTGTTCCCAGCACTTGAGCAGAGCCACCTGTTGGTTGCTCTGAAACAGGCTTTATATGAAGATCGAGAAGAATTACAAGGAAACCTTTCTAAACTCGGTAAGCCATAACATAAGCATTAAGCATTGTCATATTAGAGTAATGAAGACATTCAGGTATTTGAAGTGAAAAGTAAATATTTGGTGAACACATTCATTTTTGACTTCATATTATGTTGAAAGTTATCTTGCTATATTAGATACTCTATAAGAAGAATTGTAATTGTTCAATATGTGGAACTGTCATTAAATACTACAAAGTTTTTATTGTTATTGCTCTACCTGTATGATTTTGTGGAATGAAACAAATTAGAAGATAATGTCGAGGGTCATCATAAGTGGGAATCATGGTTTCATTTCTCAGAACATAGTTACACAGAATGTGCAAAATATATTTTGATTTGTCAAGTACCAAATAACTCTTATACAATTTTTTTTACTATGGCATGCATATTATAATTGTTATGAAAAATAAGAAAATGATACAGTAGTGTATTATTATTTTGATATAATTGTGACTCTTACTTTCCATACTTTTTCAGTTGATTCAAAAGTAGATGATGAATTTGCAGAAATAGCAGGAAATGTTTTGAGTAAACTTCATTATATAGCATCAGTGAGAAAGGATCTGGTGCGATACAGGTAAAGTTTTCAATTATAATGCATGGAACAGTTGCAACAGTAGTGCTTATGTTTTTCATCTGACTGTAATGTTTCTTTGTTGTGGGGAGAATATAAATACAGGTAGCCCTTGATTTACGCCGGGGATGTGTTCCTGGACGAACCGGCGTAATCGGAATCAGCGTAAATTGGAATGATTTTATAATGTAAATCAATGGGAAGTCAATGACATGCGTTCCCAGCACGCAAACATCGACGAGTAATATAATGGCATTACATTTAAAGCTCTGAAATAACGTAAATAAAATAAAGGGAATTTAAAAAATATATTTTATACACTTACAATTGGTGTTGGCATGATGAAGCAGCATTAGTTCTCTGATGAAGTCCCTGGTTGAGGATTGTCATGTTTTTAAAGAAAGCTCATAGTGTGGACTGTTGTGATTTCTTTTTTCTTTCTTTCAAATTTTCCGCCAGGAATGAAATTGCATAAGAGCAAACTCGCATATGCAAAAGTTTGTATTTCACAAACAGCTTTTACCGATTCATCGATCTCATTGGAGCAAATTCGCGTTAACGGAACATACGTAATTGCAGAGATGACTGTATTTATAATTTTTATTCAAAATCAGCGATGTAAGAATTACGATTTAGTATAAGAAGCAGTATGAGAAACATTGTAAAACATTATAAATAAGAGTAAAATATATTTCTTTCACTTTCTGGTTTCAAAATCGGTGTTATTCTGAATCGGCGCAAATCGAGGGCTACCTGTACTGTAAAAATAATTCTCTTGCCAGCCAGCAAAGGTATTAGTCTAGAAGTAAATAAAGATAAAAACAAAGTTTATCAACATCACATAAAACTACAACCAGCAACAGTCATATCATTATACGTATGTAAGAAATAATTGGGGAATGTTTTAAATTAAATTATAAATGTCTGTAAATAAAAGTGAAAGATAGAAATGACTTTCCTGTTGAAATTCAAAGAATGAGGTATGGAAATATTTATTTTATTTAGTTTCAAAAACTTATCATTCTATGTATTTTCCAGAGTGCTGAACCTAGGGATATGCAAAACAAAAATTGTCCCAGTTTGTATGTGTGTTAGTTGTGGTCTCTCATGAAAGTGTCTGGACCTAAGAAGGCTGTACAAAGTTGACAGGTTAGGAACTTACACAAGGTCACCTGATTTGTTGTGAGAGTGAAATATAGGAGGCTATAGTGATCTGGGTTATGAGAGACAAGGAATGCACAGTATACAGAATTTTGGTAAAAACTTCTTGGAAGGAGTTTCCTTGGAAAACTTGGAAGGAGATGGGAGGATGATATTCAGATGGATCATAGGAGGGTGGGTTTTGATAAGTGTAAGTGGATGGATGTCCAGGATTGTCTAGTGGCAGGCTTTGAAATGTTAGATTATGCTGCTGCAGTATAATTTACTTGAAAATCCTAACCTTAGTGGTTGTGTTTCGTCTACATCCAGGTCAGTTCCATTTTATAACACTTTGTTGGAAATTCCATCATTCTTTCCATCTTCATTAAAAGCGTTGCAGCATTGTGTAGATACTTGCCTGTTTGTACCACAGTTACAGTATTTCCATTAAGATGTATATTCAATTCAGTGAACTCATACAAAGTAATACCACAAAAATGTGTAAAAGAACCTTGTGAGGATATATGAAGTACACTGCTGTGAAAGCTCAGACAAGTTTATAATGTGTGGTGAGAGATGTGAATGTCATTTTGAGCCAATTTTAGGTATGTAATGTGTACAAACCTGTCTTAAATCATTGCCATTGATGAAAAATGCATAACAAATTTTGGTTGGAAAACTTGAAGATAACCCACTTGGGAGATGTAATCGTGCATATGGGATAATATTAAGACAGATCAGGGGAAATAAAGTATAAACCAGCTGAGCAACTATTGACTTTTTAAGAAGAACCCTCCTCCATGGAGTTACTTGTAGAAATGTGATAATGGTAATACAGTTGATAACACTGTGAGCTGCTGTACAATGAAACAGGTGGGATGTCCATGCAATGGGAGCAGAATATTAGGTTTTACAATATACACAATTGTAAGCAGTTCAAGTTTTTGAACGTTTGAGATATTCTGTCTTCACTGATGGGTAGTAGCCACAAAATTAAGTATTGATGAACATTATTATTATTTTATTTTCTACACATCTGAGTTTTTACTGCAGGACTAACTTGATTCCAGTATACATATGTGTTTGACTTAATGGATATTAGCAGATTAGCATGATGTAATATAATTATTTGTGTGGCCCCTTAGATTTTTCTGTGTGCTAATGTTTTTCTCATTGTGTTTTTCTTAGAACACTTCTGTCCCTTGCCAGTCCAACACAGCCAGCTGTGTATCGTGGTTTACTTCATCAACTCATAGCTGACATTCTGGACCCTGCTTGTCCAGATCTAGCTGATCTGACATGTAAATCCACAGGGTTGAAAGGCCTTTTGAAAAGTGGATTCAGGTATATTATTTCACAGCATCATTATTTACCATTAACAGACATACACAATTTTACTGAACAGTAGCATCTACGAGGTGCGATCGGAAAGTTTCCAGACTGTGTCAATAGAGGGCGAACCGGATGTAGTACGAGCTTCTGCCGCTAGGGGGTGCGGCCTACATTCATAGTGAATCAGTGTGCCAGCCGTATAAAAACCCGTACACTTATCTCAGGTATTAAATTCATCCATCACCCTCGAAGTAGTTCCCCTGGGAGTGAACACAACGATCCCAGCGCCGCTGCCAAGCCCGGAAACCTATGAAATGCTAAAGCAAGCATTTGGGGAGTCCGCAAACTTTTGTGTGGCATTCACGTTTTAAAAATGGCCGAACCTCTGTCGATGATGACGAGCGTTCTGGCCGACCATCTTCGAGCACAACGCCCGAAAATGTTACGAAGATCGACGTCGTACCATCAACGACTTGTGCGACATTGTTGGGATAGGCTATGGGACCTGTCAGCTGATTCTAAAGGAAGAACTCCACATGCGATGCATCGCAGCCAAGTTTGTGCCAAGGCTCCTGTCTGAGGACCAGAAGCAGAATCGACTTCTCGTTTGTCAGGAGCTCAAAGATCTTGCCGGATCACCGGATTTAGCTCCATGTGACTTCTTCCTCTTCCCAAAGATGAAAATTCAGCTAAAGGGAAGGAGATTTGAGACGATAGAAGAGATTCAGGCAGAATCGTAGATGGTGCTTGACAGGCTGGCAAAGAAAGATTTCCAGGGATGCTTCCAGGCTTGGCAGCGGCGCTGGGATCGTTGTGTTCACTCCCAGGGGAACTACTTTGAGGGTGATGGATGAATTTAATACCTGAGATAAGTGTACGGGTTTTTATAGGCGCAGTCTTGAAACTTTCCGATCGCACCTCGTATTTAATCATTTGACAGCAGTATAATTATAAAGTGACTAAAGGTAGGCTGTTTTATATTAGCATAATTTCAGAGAGAGTAAGGGTGAGAGGTAGCTTAGCAAACATCCCAAAAATCAGGGATGGAAGCAGAATCTCATTTTGAAGTTTCACATTTCTTCCAGGATTCTACATCCATTTTGCCTTTTATGAAACATGTAGAAATTAGACCTGGATATACTAAGGATTGTGTCTTATATCTTGCCTTTAGCTTAAAAGCATTGTAAAGAACTAATTTCACTGTGTTACGATTAGTTTGCTACTCAAGAAACAGAGGGAGCAGCATCCATTGGACAATCCACAGTTGATTGTGTTCATCGTGGGTGGCATTGCTGCACATGAAGTCAAATTAATTCAAGAAATGGTGATCAGCTCTGGACGACAAACACAGGTTCTAGTTGGTGGCACTCGTCTTCTTTCACCAAACGATGCTGTGGAAGCCATCTTTATTAAAGATCCATTTATGCAGCAAGTTTTGTGAGAGTGGTAGTTAGTAAATATCATTATATTGTTACTTTGGAGAGACAAAAATATGAATATTTTTCAGAATGTGAAGTTACATTGTTCTTAATGCGAGAACTTGAGCTATATATTGATAATAAGAAAGTTAATTGCATTACTTTGTGTTCTCTAAATCGAGACATTAGTGGACTTGTTTGGAAGATCTTGCTAAATTAATTGCCTGGTGTAAATTTTAGAATATTAATTTTTTCAATGTATAAATACATTGCCATTCCATGAAAAATAGTTGTGAAACCTCTTCATCATGGATGTAAAAAAAAATTGTGAAATTCAGGATGGTCAAATATTCTCATGTAATTTAGATTTCTACCGTCACAAGGAAAATATTTCGGAAGGTCTGCAGTTGTTTCCTGTATCTAACATGATACATGGTCTGTATCTAGCCTATGTAATGGCAACATAATTTACGCGTGTTATATTCACAAACTAAGTTTCTGTAAACCTCTTTGGAGTTTTCATTGACATATTGTGAGCAGGGAATAGCTTCAGAGCAGAACTTCCAGAGTGGTGTGGCAAAAGGAGAATGGCTTAGAAGCATTTGGATTGCTAAGTAATATTAACAGCACCAAGTAGTGTGACAATGTAGCAGCTGTGGTGACAAAGAAGTGTGAGGTGGATTTATGGAGTCTGTTAAATTTTAATGTTCTGCATCACAGCATATGTATTTGGTGCAAGCACTTCACCCATATTTGCCTTTTATACTGCACTGAGCCACTGTAATTGGGCACATCCAGTTTGATAGTTCCAGGTTGTACACATGCCAATACATCTTGTGTGAAATGCTGTCTCTATTAGAAGATGGCTGTCTTCTGACTCACTGCCTTGAGAACCTCAAATTCTACTTTGTTTATTAATATCAATTTTTGGGCTTATTTTTAATAAAATTAAAACTTCATTGATTGTTATTTGATGTTTCTTTTAGTTACACTTACATAAATCTCAAAACATATATTTCTGAGAATAAAAGATCATATTTAAAAACAGGCTTCCAAAATGAAAAGTATTCTAATATTGGAGATCATGCAGTTTTAATAAATTGGTCAGTGTCCATCACCCTGATAACTTCTCCCATAGTGCATGCTCAAGTTTTACATGTATGAGATGGCCTCCAGATATGAAGGGTAACTGCAAATACTACTGAATAAGCAGTCATGTACAGCCAAGCAGTGGTCCACTAGCTTGGAGGTTGGAGCATCTTACAAAATGTTACACAGGGTGTCATACATGGACAGATTCTTGAGAATACAGTATTGAAACTTTATTCCCTAAAAGAGGAGGTTTCTTGATTGGCTGAGTGATAATAGCTTGTCAGAAAAGACATATGTAGAGTTGCTGGTTAATCTTTATTATACAGAAATGAGGAATCTAAAATATCATACTAGAGAGCTACCAGCTAAACTAAAATCCAAGATTAACAGTTTCTGAGAAGGCTTATGCGATTCAGAATTGATGAAGGTTAATTCTGTGGTAAAATATGATAATGAAATATGGGTGTCATCTGACAAGAAAGAAAAGAGAGGGAAAAGGGAAAAATGAGAAGTTTTTACCTGAATATATATAAAAAGAAATATTGACAACTGGAATAAACTTAAGATTAATAATACAGTCAAAGACAATACTGCATATGTAAGATGAGATTGAAGAACCATGTACATTGAGTAGGAGAGGACAAATGGCCAATGATAGCACTAAATCACATACCTACTAGCATAATGTAAATATAGGATGAGGAGTTTGATACTTGTATGGGCTGGAAAAGAACAAAGAATTTGTACATTTTAAATTCACTCATATATTTAATAAACATTTACATAAGTAATAAGAATAGTTTCAGTCAAAAAAAACCCACCAAAGTTTAGTAACCTGACTGTTTCGACAATTGAGACCTCCCCTCAAAGAATGCTGCATTACACTTTTTTGGTGAAACTTCTTCCTGACTTTCCCTCCATTTTTTATACAGCATTATTTCAGGGTAGCTAACTTGTGATCAGCAGTTAAATAATCTCAAAACATAATGATACTGTAACCATACAGTAAATTAGAAATTGACTGTAGAATAATGATGAGCAAAATGTGGAGGGGAAAAGTCATGGGGTTTCATCAGAAAAATGCCATACAGTGTTGTCTGAGGGCAGACCTGAATTAAATATAAGTTAATTACTTTTATTAGACTTCATATGTTCTTTGCCAGATATTTTAAAATCTCCAGTAAATTAACAGAAGCCTAATGAAAGTGAAGTAACTAGTTTTTCATCCCAATTGTTTGTAAGGCTTGATCTAAAATAACAGTAATGAGTTTGTTAAACATGGCCATAATCTCTTGAGTGCAGTGTGAGCAACACAAAGTACTACCTTTTATTTTAGGTAATGCTGTTTTCAAGAAATAGAACTACAAATATGTTTGTGACATATATACTGATTCTCAGATACAAAAGTAGGATACATATCACAGAATACATTATGGATGAGAACACACAATGATTATAGTATGAAGTATGTTGGTGCCTGTAATTGCTGAGAGTATTGAGAATATGCCATGCCATGCTGAAATTTCCCTTTCCGTGTTCAGTGTTGCTATAGATAATGACTAGCATCTACACTACCTGTAAAGACATTCTTATATATTTTACAGATACATTTCCATAGAAAACATATGAAAATTAAATTTGTAATCATATTCTTTATTACTGAAGTAAAAGCTGATCATATTAAGGAAATACTTGCTCCAAAATGAGCCTCAATTGGCCCACATAAGACCATCATCTGAAACTGTATATTGGTGGACACATTTAGTGACTGGTGTGCTTACTTCTGCAAGAAATAAATCTTCTGTTTCTTTGCCTTCTACTCTGTTCAGTTGTATCTTGTAGGATACATTGCCTGGCCCAGGTGTGGCTGTACTGTCCTCTGCAAAATTAACATTCGACTGAAAATGAGTCTGTTTTGTATACATTACTATAACTTTGTACTCTTCAGTACAAGACTGAAGAGCTTTCAGCATCTTCCTTAAGTATAAATCCATTTTACGAATGCCACGAACAGCAACATCTTGCCAATAGTAGGCAGATAAGCTGTCAATGATTATTAAACTTGTGTTTGCATTACTAGACAAGATATTTTCAAGGGAGTGAAAGGTGACAAACAATTGCACACTATCATAGCAATTTAAGACTATCAAATTTGCTAATGATTCTTTTATAATCTTCTCTATTATTTTGGAGTCAATGTGCTTTGGAAGTTGAACTTCACTGGTATTGGATTCTCTGCACTTCATTAACAAAGATTCCATTATACTAACTAGCTTTAGTATTTGGAAATGATGATCTGTGTCTACTATGATTGCTCCTGCACCAAGGCCACCAATTGTAAACTCATTCCATGTCTTTGGTAATAAACACTTTACCAGAAACTGGGTTATAAGGGTAGTTTTACCACTTCCAGAGTCCCCACTTATCTCTATGATATTTCCCAAGTTTATACCGCCAGGGAAAAGCGTTTCACTTAAACTATTCAAGTTCGGTCTTGAACTTAATCTTGCTAATAACTGCACTCCAGTTTCAGCTTTGCAGTCATAATCCATTTTATCTTCGCTACGTATATAAAAGCGCATCTACGAAACCATCAATTATAATCACACTGGTGTATAAAATATGCCCCGAATATTTTGACATAACACAATGGAAGCAAAATTCCAACCAATAATAGAAAAAAATTGCACTTATATTCGAATTTAGTATTTGTTACCCTCGTCTTCAGAACCACGGATCACCATTACCTACTTAACGGCAAGTAAAAACTCATCAGATGTACCACCTTATAATTTTCCCCTAAACACATTACATGTCAAATTAATATACTGGGTATAGAAATAATGTAATTGCTTTTGTTGGGTAAATTTCATTAACTTAATTTCTCCTTGCAGGAGGATGTTTGTTTCGGGACGTAATCCGTGGTAGCAGGATTGTCATTTCCGTTTGTAGCATATTGGTGTTTTGGGTTGTAGGAACAAATTATTTTGTAGGTTTGTTGCATTGTCGCGGTAGACAACAAGATTAGTTGTCACAATTAGTTGTGTCTAATTACTCACGGCATACTTCTAGCGCATCATTTATGTACATATATTTTGTTTTTTTACTGACAGAAGTTCTCAGTTAAAATTACGGTGGTGAATAGATAATACCAACATAAGCAGTGAAGACGTCGAAATTGGTCTTGTGAGTAGTAGCCACAGGTATAAAACCAACGCTTCTGAAAGACTCCATTTGCGGTCTGGTAAACTGTGATGTTCGTGAAGAAGACTGTCATCTGGGTTGTTCCATGTAGTTTCATAGCACCTTTGACACGTCAGTAAATTTCAACCAGACTACAAAGCGCCAAAAAACCAGAAGAGAGACATTCATATATTCACCGTCAAATCCTACACATTTCACTGTTTCTACTGCTATGTTGGTAATCTGTATTCCGTTACAGTGACTGACTGCATGCAATCTATGATCGACGGTGCCTAGAACACAGCATAACATGAAACCTGTGGTAGTGTGTTTCAGTATTAAAGGTGTGTAAGTAGTGCGACCAAAATACAGTTTACTTGAAACAAATCGTAAATTCTTGTACAATAGATATCATTTATTTCCTTCAAAAGACAATGAACTGTTAAGCAGCAATGGAAGAACTCTGTCTTATTCCTACAAAATGTTCTGCACTCCAGAAAGTGGAAGCTAATGACCTTCTAGTAGTTGTCCATAAAAGTAAACAGAAACATGTTGAAAGAAAGCCAGTTCTTACGGACCAATTGAAAGTAGAGAAAAGGGAAATGGACATGAAGAAGGTTCGTTACGATGTTTTCAAATTTGGAATGTCGGGCTTTAAAGCAGAAAGGAAGGAAGAAGTTAAAGTAGCACTAGCGATCAGACTAGGAGCTGTACCACCAAAAAACAAATGTTATAATTATAAGGAATACAAGCTTATGAAAGAGAAGCAATTAAAAGAATTGTCAGAACAGCGAAAATTGTTTGCAGTTAGGAAGACTAAAGCTGGGAAGCCAAGTACCAAAGGCAAGAAGAAATTTGTGAGTGGACAAGGGAAGAAAAATAAAGATGGAATTTTGGACCCATATGGAAAACCAGGAAAAGTAAATTTTTCTATTCCTTTGTATTCATTAGACATTAAAACATTTTATTACTGTTTTCACAGGTTCAGGAACCCACCATTAGCCCCTCTTTTTAGCCAAATAAATCCAGTCAACTTGCACACACCCCTGATTTACCTAAGATTTGTATTATCTTCCATGGTCTTCCAAGTTGTTTAATCCCTTCAAATTTTCTAACCAATACTTTGTGTAAATAAACTTCTGATGTGTGCTACATGCCCTGCCAGCATCAATATCCTAAAATGAAGAATTCCACAATTCCTCAGATACATGTTGATGTGATTTTAGTTTTTGTTTTTAAGATTTTTTGTGGAATCTTTTAACCATTATTCAAGTGACTCACTGAATGTAGTGCCAGTTTATATATAGTGTGATAACAGTGCTACCTGTTGCATATTTTATCATTAAGAGCTGAAAAGATATACATATTGTTTGTTTCAGGCTCAAACCTCTGTGAAAGTGAGGAAGCGGTAATGAAGAACATTGAAAATCGTGTATCATCATCAGTATTTGTATTTTTGTAATAAAAGATTTTTAAGTGTTGAATATTGTAAAATAAAGCGAGTCTGTGATGTATTGCATGAGTAAGAGAATACTGAACCAAGTCATCAAGTATAATTTCAGAGTTCTGATAACAACCAAAGAGTGCCAAGTAAGTTTTGAAATAACAAAACTGTGTAGTAAGAAGGTGTTGGC